ACTCAGGAAGCGTCTTGGACGCAAATCCTAGAGTTTGTTCGATTCCGGTGAGAAAAAAATTGAAACTTTTATCTCTTCTCAATGTTGGACTGTCAAGATTTGTTTTCTTTGAACTAGATCGATAATGTTACAAAGTATTGAGGAAAATCTATTTGTTTTGCCAATGGTTTCTTGGAATTCCACAGAGTTGCAATGTTATTTCTGTGTTATAACTTCAAGAATTTGAATCTTCAGGAGTTGCAATTGCGTTTTCTAGTGTTGAAATGTTTCAAGGAACAATTATTGTTATAAGATGATGGCATTAGCAAAGCGAGTTTTCAAGTTTGTGCATATCTTTTCTTGTATTGTGCTAGTGTGTGTTTCTTGCTTCATCAGGTCTTTGAGCTATTTCAGAGAGACCTCAAATTTGTAAGGTGAAGTCTGATTGTTTTCGAGTAACTCGATCTTTCTTTTAGTCGATAAGGTTGTGAGACTATCTTAAGAACTGGTTTTGGCAGGCGGGTATGCGTTATTTTGATGTTGAAAATGTGCCTTGACATGTAGATGGAAAAAGGTTTATCTACTTAGTTTCATTAGCCACCTAGTTTTAACCGGAATGTATATAGTTGCTTACTTCCACTATTGAGATTACTTGTTCCAGATCCTCTGTGTTGGTTCTTACTTGTGAAAGGAGAGGTTTGTGAATGAGCTTAGAATAATAAATAATTACGAAACCGACTCTAAGGACAACTAGAGTTGAGCTACATTTGCTTTATTAACCAATGCAATCACCAACACGTTTCCCTGTAAAAACACGGAAGTTTGTAATTCATGTTTAATATACACCACCCTCGTAAATAAAATTAAACAAGGTTGGGAAAAACTTATCTTCATTGGTCACAATGGCAAAAGAAAAACTCTCTCCCAAAACTATACGAGGTCCCAATAATAGTGAGCAGAGACCCAATAATATGGCCAGAGACAGAGAGGAAGAAAACCGAACTGAATTGGGGCATAATTCAGTTGGGAGATTGTGACAGTGATGGAAAATTGGTTTATGAAACTGGAATACGTTTCATGTTAATCTTATTAATAAGCCCATGCGCACATGTGTGTTATGCATGTTAGTTGTTTTCTCACAGAAATAAATCTTAGTGGTTACACTTTGATGATGCATTTTCTTTTATTAGCAAGAGTTCATCTTGTTCAGTGCTTATGTAACTAGTCTGTTCTAATGTCTCAAGTGTGCTACATCCTTTGTTATCTCTGGCTAAAACCCTCTTTACACATGTACATGATATTTTGGGCAATGCACACCTAGCTTTCAGTCAGAGTACGGGACCATACTCCGCCATCATTTGGAAATTAGGGAGTACCGTTTCCAAATGAGGAAGCGTACATATTCCAGTGAGTTTTCTACAAATCTAAATATTCTAAATGTCTAGTCTTGTCATAGATAGTGTAGGCTGGTGTCGGATATTTATTAAATATAATGTTTTCTGCAAGGTTTGGTGTTGCTATACATAGAAAGGGCGGAAGCAGGGRTGTGCGAGAAAAARAGTGGTCAACATAGCCAGAAGGAGGAGGCTTTTCGTTATATCCTTACGCTTCASTCACTTCTAGAGAAKCCCCCGGGAGATTTTCCTYATGACCTTCGAGAAGAAATTGTGAATGGCCTCATTCATATCTTCTCCTTTGTAAGGTCTGATTTTATTTGTTACTCAATGTCTCGCTCACATTGTACCCACCTTTACAAACAATAGTTAAAGTTATACTAACTTATTAAATAATTTCCAGAGAAGAGGGAAAGCTCTCACGCAAGCTTATTGAATGTGTCAATTCGTTCTTGCTAAAGGATGGTCCTAATATAGGCTCCTTGTCATTGGAAATTCATAATGCGGTTCAACAATTTGTTTTCCGTTGCTGGTTAACAACCCATGATAAGAACCTTAAGGTTTTTTTTTGTGTGTGGCAGCCCTTCATGGTCTAAGTCAGGTTTTTTGGGTCTTCTTGTTCTATATAGGAGATAGTTGCTTCTTATGGAAGGCTACAATTAAATTTGACAAGGGGTTCTAGTGAATTGGTGGAACAACTTTTGAATGTGGTTAATCGTGAACTGGATCATGGTAATTCATGTAGTTATGCATCATGGTATATCTTTTCTGTGCCTCCTCTTCCAAGGGATGACTTCTTTAACTTGTACACACTCATGAAGTTATGCGTTTCTAATTAAAATTTTCATTTATGGGTGATTCAACAAAGGATGACAAGTTTGGGGCATTGAGCAGCTATCAGAATAGCTTGGTTGAACTTGCTGCACATATGCTCTACCGGGTACCTATTTTAATCAATGCTTTTTGAAGAAATAGTTACTGCTATTTTCGTGACACCATGGAACATCCACTGCTTATATGTGTTTTTGATTGATATTTTACAATTTGAATTTCTAACGACAGAATTACTCTGTAAGGAAGCGACGAACATCTCAAGACTGCAGGGGGGTTGCTGGAATTTCCTGGAAAGATATGGTTATTATGGCTATAGAAGCGATCATACAGGATCCTTGCTGGCAAGATAACGTTTTACTTTCTTCTGCATGCTTATGTTTCTGTTTCTATTGTAGAATGTGTTCATTAAAGATACTTTGTTATGTTATTATTATAGATAACATGCAGAATCATTTGTGCGGATCTCTCGATAAATTCATGCTTTTGGTATACTTAAGGTTTCTTATTCAAATTAGTTAACATCGTTGGTTATAGTGATCATGTTCTTTCCATGTCCTTTCCATATGCTGCTTAAACAAACAGGTCAAGAAAAATTTAACACGGATTCCTGAAGAAACAAGAAAGAAACAGCAAGCAAAGGGTCATATTCCTGAAGAAGGATACATAATAAAATATGTGCCAGTCCCACCTACCTGTTTGCCAGTTTCAGATTTTCCTGATGGTATCAGCACCATGTCAGCGGTCGCATCAATTAGGGAGGTAGTTGTTCCCTCTTCAAGAAGGTTAGCCAGGCCAGGGACACTTCAAGAATCTGATGGTTGTTCTTCGGGATATAGTAATTATTAATGACGGAACTGTAAGAAACACATGCAGTAACTCGGTAGTGCAGTTCAAGTATGCAGTCAAACATTCCAATTTGGTCCAAAATTGGTAAAAAACAGTTATTTCTGACTAGTATTTTACCAAAATCGATTCGTCAAAAATCGATCGTCACAAATAGAATTTGGTCAGAAAATAGTCAAAACATTTTGACCAATAAAAATGGTCAAAATTTTGGTTTTGACCAACAAAATAGTCAAAATTTTGATTCTGACCAATAAAATCGTCAAAATTTTTTGATCAATCAAAATGGTCGAAACAATATATTTTAACCAATTTTAGCCCATATATTCTAACCAATTTTTGACCAACTTACATATTTAAATTTTAGAACTATATTTTGATCAATTCGAAAATATTGAAATTCAAATTTAAAATATTTGATTCATAATAATTAAAATTAAAGTAAATATTTTTAAAAAATTAAAATATAAAATATTTCAAAAAAAAATATGTGATTCTTAATAATTTCAAAATATCCACTAAATCAACGATTAAAATAATTCAACTATTTTTTCTTATAATGGAGCAAATCTATGCTAATTAATTATGAGAGTTTTATTTAAAGAATGCTTATTTTTCTTAATAACACGATTACGACTAAACCTAAAGTAAACACTATCATCGATTAAAATTGTATATATATTACTCTAATTAACTAAACGTTAATATTTGAATTTAGAAACACCTTCA